TTTCATCTGCCCCGGTACCCGAACTCGGGACTTTAGTTAGCTACCACTAGCTCTGACACCCGACCTGTCTGTCTCTACTCCTCCCTGAAAAATACAAATGTTTTCAGCAAACCACATGACAAAGTCGATAAATACACCTAAGTTATGACACAAATTCTCATTGATTTTGATCCGTAAACCTTACGACTCAGGCACAGCGGTTACACAGCTATGTGTTGTTGTAAGCAAGTTACGAAATAGAAAGGGAGTTGAGATGAATAAAAATAAATGAATGCTGTTCCAACGCAGATGGGTGGTTGCAAGGAGCTAGAAGGGTTGTTATCCACAGCTAGATGTATAAAGGTTTCTGTTCCCAGCTAGTGTTGCTGTCGATCTCCAGCTAGCTGTAGTGCTTCTACCTAACCATTATAAAGGTTTGAGTTCCCAGCTAGTTTGGCTGTCGTCCCCAGCTAGCTTATTGCTTCACCCTCCTACTCATTAAAGCTTTCAGCTCCCAACTAGTTCGGCTGTTGTCATTAGCTAGTTGGATTTCTATCCCTGTGAAAATGTGAATTCGTTTTTTTTTGTGGCATTCGGCGAAACGTCCATACATGAACTACCGCATTCCGGAAAATGTTCATCCGCGAAAAGGCTCCCGATCAAATTTTATTCAGGGAACAATATATTTCAGTCAAAAGTCAGGCATTCCCTAAAGGAAAGCCTTATGTCTAGCTGCGGAGTAAATCGCGAAACAGTAAAAGTGCTAGTAAACAAGAATATAGGAACCGTAAATTTTTAACTTAATAACGATAAAATGTGTAAAAGTCAGTAGAACAAATACTGCTTTTTGGGGAACGCCAATTAATGTTGTCACACAATCATTAAGACTGGATCCAGTACAATTGAAAAATTTCTCAGTTGGAATCTCTAGTGTCGAATTAAGGTAGCAGAACAACACGAAATTCAAATTTTTAAAACATATCGAAGGCGGTCACAGCTGTTACCTTTAGTTGTTTACACAAGTTTCTGACGGTAATCAACGGATCTACTGGCGGTAAGTATGGCTCAATTCTTTGATCCTGTTTCCATCAGCATGTATTTTAAGCATTATTTGAGCCATTTCGCCTGTAAAAGATAGAGAGACGTGTATTATTATTACATAGTTGTTTTTTAGAATGTATATACACATACAACTAAAATGTATATTGCCACTTTCGTGTATTTTAAAACGCAAGGGTACCTGTGTATTATAAAGGAACCTTCGAGTTTCTCAAGTATCCCGCACGTGTTCTGGCACCCCCCACCCTACTGTGACCCACGCTATCGCCCACACGTCCTCAACATACACATCAACAACATCGTCTTTGACTTCTTTGACATCAATGGGATTATACGTTACGGTGTTTGACTTACAAATTTATTGCTACAACATTTTATTATTAAAATGCTGCTTACAAAGAGATTTTTATCGTCTAGTTAGCAATATAAAAGTTATTAAATTAAGATTATTGTTCAACATACGCCTACAGACTTCTGTTTTATCAAACTTAAATCATAGGATTCGATTTGTGTTCACGCTATCTTTGGGAAATCCTACACATGGATAAAAATCGAAGGAGAGGGACAGTGGAGTTGCCACTAATTTCATCTCTTAATGTACGCTTCAAGTTTTGTATAGGTGTGTCAATCATACATTTAAGAAGCAAGAATAATTAGCAAAAATATATATGCTAACTAGGTAGGAGATTTGTCAAATTTGATCACAACCATACTATCTCATCTCTATCAGAGATTAATATTTTTTATTCTTGCACGTTTCAAATTTAACAAACGGTGAAATAAAGAAACTTTACTATGATAGATATAATCGTACATACATATATATATATATGTGTATATATATATATATATATATATATATATATATATATAAATATATATATATATATATATATATATATATATATATATTTATATATATATATATATATATATATATATATGCGATATTTCGGGTGGGGGGCTGGGGCGGACAACACTTTCCTTTCCAGGGGGGTGGCAGACACAGGTATAAATATATGGTTTCTATATAAATTCAATTTAGTTCGTTGTGCCCCCCCCCCCCCCCCCGAAGAGATACGTAGAAGAAACTCTGATTTGAACTTTATAAATTATCAGGGCCAGGCCCTGCACTTGCCTCTATGCAAACCTATCTGTAAAGGACCATTACTTGGTGTATAGTAATCAGCATATACCCGGCATTGCCCGGGCTAGAAGATATATTATTTTTCGAATTAACCCTAACCACAACCAACCAAAACGAAATCAAAGAAAATAATTCATCAAGGCAAGTAATTAGTGCTAAAGGATTAAATGAAAATAATTTTCAGACAAAATTAGAATTTTTGTGATACATTTTCTTTAATTTTATTTAATGTACATGCCGTCAATTAACACTATAAGTTTTGAAAATACAATTTGTTTTTAAACACCTTCAATATTAGATTTTTAAATCGTTAATTTAAATAAAGAGCACTTTATATACTTATATAAATAAATAAATAAATAAATAAATAAATAAATAAATAAATAAATAAATAAATAAATAAATAAATAAATAAATAAATAAATAAATAAATAAATAAATAAATAAATAAATAAATAAATAAATAAATAAATAAATAAATAAATAAATAAATAAATAAATAAATAAATAAATAAATAAATAAATAAATAAATAAATAAATAAATAAATAAATAAATAAATAAATAAATAAATAAATAAATAAATAAATAAATAAATAAATAAATAAATAAATAAATAAATAAATAAATAAATAAATAAATAAATAAATAAATAAATAAATAAATAAATAAATATATATATATATATATATATATATATATATATATATATATATATATATATATATATATATATATATATACATATATGCGGGTGTGTGTGGGCAGAAGTGTGAAACTCTTCATGGTGACGCCAATGTTCAATGTGTAGCTATTGAAAGAACATTAGCACTTGCAGTCTAGATGTGTAGACATGATTGAACCGGTCAATATCGACGTTTAATGACAAAAGTCACGCTAGAATAAGTAGAATAAAGGGAGTGGCTTGCACTTGTTGTGTGCTGAATCTTTACTTTCTCACATGGGCGTGTATATTTTAACACATGATGGGATTCACGTAATTTATTCACTCTTGCATATTTTTTTTTTATAACTATAAGCTTTTTACAAGCTTTTACTTCACAACTTCTTTTGCTTCTTGGGTTATTGGCTAATCTTGTAATTTTATTTCGACCCCTTTTTGATGCAACGATCTATTTCAAACTTTCCAGATACGTTCCCCCTTTAAAAAACACACCAAAAACATTTTTCTTTATCTAATTGGACATCAGAATATTCATTTAAAAATTAATATATTCAATAATAAAAGGGGAGATAACTAGTTTGACGCGAACGCCCTATCAGTCAGCTGAGCTGTAGTTAACGCCTGTTTGGTCTCTGTTGGTTGCCTGAGTGTCGTCCACTAACTAAGGGCAGCTAATTGTCTTTTAAAGCTATTGTTCGGGTTTTAGTTTTAACGCAAGAATTTTATAAGTAGCCTTTGACGAATGACTAAAAAGTTGAAAATAAAACAAATATTAAAAAAAAAACCTTTATAATAGCAAGCTTTTCAATGCGCCTAAAATAAGAATATACAACTAACTTCTAATACAGCGAAGGTATTCCAACTTTGCAACGGCAATGCAAGAAAATATATTTTAAAATCTAATTAATTTGGCTACTTTTTTTTTCAATAATAAAAGCGAAGCTAACACGAATAGATACTAGGTTAGCTACCATAGGTAAACTTTTTGGGTACGATTGTTTGCTTTTTTTCTGGTACAAAATACTAAAAATAACAGATACGTGTCTTTTACAGATCGCAAGATATTGATCTGATTTTAAAGGACATATTTTTAGTCTTGTTCTCTGGGATGCATTAATTGGTAACGAATTATCAAAAAGAAGAGGTTTATTTTTTTAAAGTTGTAATAATAAGCTTTTAAGTGCACTGGAAATACAATAATTAATAGTTTCTTTCTTTAATAAAAGCATGTGTCGCTTATCAGATCTCTTACATAGCAATCGATTATGGAATCAAAGAAAGCAAGTTTGCATTATTGTATTCTTTTCGGTGACTTTAAAAGTGTATTTTTTTTTTAAAGTTCCCTTTTGTAATGTGACGGTCCATGGAGCAAGTGAAGTAGAGTTTACGTGTTTCCATGATCTCGTTATATGAAAAGATGATGTGCTCAGCACTATCATTCTTCTTCTTTACCTAACTTGAGGTAAGTACCCAATAAAGTAATATTCTTCTTACTTGAAACCGGATTTGAACTCAAGACTGAATATTACTATAACGTTCTTCTTTTAATATTTGACCCCAAACTAGTAATGATTTTTAAAAAATAGAACTTGCTTGCGCAATTTATTTTTCGCTACAGCAGACTAAATATCTTTTTCTCATTGAAAACAAATACATGATGGCAGTGGCGTAGCGAGGTCGGGTGTCAACCGGTGCGGCACTTAATGGTGTCACCCCCCCCCCCCCCAGAAGCGTTGCGACCCTTCCCGGGGACAAACTTCCAAGTTTTCGATTTGCACCCCCCCCCCCTCAAACTTTCGATTTGCACGCCCCCTCAAGTTTTCGCGTTGCACCCCCCCCCCCCTATCAAACTTTCGATTTGCACCCCCCTCAAGTTTTTCTCTATATATTTTGCTATTTTTTGCCTTGGTGTCACCCCCCTAAATGGTGTCACCCGGTGCGGTTCGCACCCCCCGCCCCCCCCCCCCCCCCTCGCAACGCCCCTGCATGATGGTCTCTCTATTGTTTCAGTATGAGGCTTCGCCTTTGGATTTTCATTACTAGCAATAATATTTCCAACACGTATTTTGATTGGCTAACTAGTCAATATATACTGTTTACATCAGTGAACATACACCACTTTTTGTCGTGACTGACAGTTTGAAACAAAAAGCTTCCACTCTGGTGAGTTTTAAGCGACGTCTTTCTAATGTTTATTTTTATAATGATAAAACTTTAGAATTATATTCTTAAATTTAAGGTTCTGATCATTTTTAAACATGATTGTAACTTTCCAAGAAATTGAATGATATAATCAAAATTTAGAAAACTACCCTAGAGGTAGCAAACAAAAATAGAAATCTTAAAGATATTTATTAAAGAAACAAGTTATTTTGAGAATCATATTTTTTTTTTAAATCTTGAAGCGCCGTCATTAGTTGATGCTTTTTTTTTTAATTGTAAGTTTGGACGAATTAGAGTGATTATATTGCCGACATTAGATGTAATATTAATCGTTTCATTTACTTGTCTAGAGTGGCTTATGTTAATATATTAATAACAACTTTTATCAGACTTTTTACAATACTGCATCGGTTTAAAAATGTATTTTAAATTATGACAATCAGTCTTAATTTAAATATTAAGCAGATAAGTATTTGCAATGTTAACGACAATCAGTAAATGTATTTTATTTTATTTAATTGATACTTCGTTGTATAATGAGGTAGCTTTGAACAAAATAAAAATTAAATATCGTGGCAGACCAGTAGATATCTTACGAGTTATAGATTCTGACTGCGTCATTGGGAGATATTTCTTGTTTGAATAAAACTTTGGTTTTATATAATGTTTTCAGTCAAGATTCAAGCAAGTATTTACATCATTGAAACAAACTATACGTTAACAAAAAATAAAACTCGCTAAACATTTCATGAATGATTGATCGAACGCTCAGCTAGTTTATATCGTTTTAGTCTATCGATTCAAACACAAACGTAGTACGCGGTTTATATCTTCAGTAAATTTTAAAGATGTAACTGCATCTTCATTATTTCATGATCACTGACAGACTATTTATGTGCATTACTTAATTTAAACAATTTGTAATAAGTATAAATCTTTTACCAGCAGGATAAAATACACATCCCTTCCATATTCAACCTCCGCGCCCCACACATCCTAAACATCCCTCGTATGCAATGACGTGACTTACGTTGGCTTAAAAATTTCGTTTCTCAATTTTTTTTTTGCAATCAGATTTTTACTTAATATTTAGTCGCGTGTAATTAATAACGCTTTTATTTAAATAATAGTAAAACTGCTGTTGAGATTCACTACGAGGAATCAAATAAGTTATTGTTGTGAATTTTTGATAAAGATTAATAAACGATTCTACGCATCAAAGGGTATTTAAATTCAAATCATTATAGCTTAATCAACCATAGTATTTTATGTTTAGACTAACGCTGCAGAAAAAAAATAATTAAATCAGCTTCTTACAAATGTGCTAATGTATTGTCAAAATATTTCTAAATAAGAGCAATTTACGTAATGATAATGAGGTTTATGGAAGAACTGTGAAGAGAAGTTCTGATTAAAACACTAATATGCTATTAAAATGTTGGAATATCGCTAAACGGTAGATCTATAGAAAATACAAAACATTAACAGCTTTCGTCCTCCTTGTTTTTTTTAAATTCTTAATAGTCGAAAACAACTAGTTAAGAATTATTTAAGCAATATATACTGCAGAAAGGAAATCACATTAACACATTAGTGTAACTACTGACGATTATATATATTATTATGGATTTTACTATTTGAAATGAAACAAAAAACAACTACTGATATCAGACACATTGTGTTAATTTTTATTTATATTGTTGGGCCTCTTTTGAACATTGGTAACATTTGATAATAGTTATTTAATAATTATGTTTGATATAACACTACCTATTCTTGGTGCGCAACCAAAATCATAAAATAAATGTTTATATTAGTTTTATTTGTTCCGTGATATATGTATTTAAAAATATGTAAATTATGTTTAATTGTTATTACTATTTTTTTCAATCACAGGTATATATCTATATCAATATATAAGCTGTATCAGGATGAAGATTGCAAAAGTAAACATTACAGCCATACTGCTTATGTGCATATCATACGCGCATGGTGAGTCAAGTACTGAGTTTTTTTCCAGGCATCTCCCGAATGAAATGAAATTGATATAGAAAATATATACTTAACAGTGTGCGCCCCCCACCCTTAAATTTTAGCCCGCCCCCCCTTAAAAAAATTTCAAGTGCTCCCCCCCCTTCCCCCGGAGAAAAAAGTCTGAAGAAATACTGGTCTAGTAAGATCCTACACGGTTTGAAAAAATAGTTGAAATATTAAATAAAACTGAAACAAAAGTAACCAATTCAACGTTGTAGCCTCGCGGTATTAACGTCTTCTCTGTATTGATTAAAAATCATCAAGAAAGTCCATTCGATTGTTTTGTTTGCATTTGTATTTCTATACTCGTTAATATTCAAACTCACCACCCGCTGTTATGTTAAGCTGTTAGACATTTATTGTTGTTTCAGTTTAGCTTTTCAATTATTGACGCGAATAGACCATATTGCTATACCAGCTTGCAGTTGTGGATTGGGATTGATTTTAGGCTTGTTATTAAAGGATTTTATTACGTTGAATAAAACTTTAACCTTTTTCTCATTTTCCGATTGAAGTGAAATTCTGCACAGTGGTAGAATTTGAATGACAATGTAAGATAGCACACTAGTCTTAAAGTTTAATTTAAAACATTACTACTGAAAGGTGAGATAATAAATAATTAAACAGAATTTTAGCGTCAGTAGATGGGTACCAACTCACGTTAGGAAAAGTAATGGCGGCTAGGCATAGTGATGACAACGCTATCTCTTCAAAGGCCGAGTTCACAGAAACAAATGAACTCTACTTCACTTGCCCTATAGACCGTCAGGTTTGAAAGGGAAATTTAATTTTACTTACTAACGATCGCTTGATCAATGCGAAATCTAGGGTAAACTGGTTTCACGACTGGCATATTTGGTGCCTTATCGTAGACCACAAACTAAAAGAGGGCTGATAACTCAAGTTGGTAACGCACATATTTTTGGTCGTAGTTTATGTTGCGATAACTTAATTTAAAACGAATAACTAACACATGGAAAATAATTCCCACATACATTGTTTATTTTAAAAAAACATTTAAAAAAAATAATATTCACAATTCACAAAAAATAACTAAAGCGGGAGTGATCTCCCCTAAACTTTCTCGAATATTCTTATATAACACTAAGGAGATGTCAACTCGGGATATAGACATGATTTTAAATCAGTTATTACATACTTAAGCTTTTTGAAAATAGAATAGAATCTCATAGAAAAAAAAGAATTTAGCCCCAATTGAACGGCAAACAATATGTGTATAATAGTGCGGAATACTAGTACTTTATAAATTCAAATGCGTTTTTTTTTCAGAAATCGGAAACACCTAAATTACTACTTCCGTTTAACGAAAATTACACAAAATGTAACATAAGGCAGAAAATTAGATCTTTTACTTTCAGAGAGACATTTCATTTATATATGTGAAACAGTACTCAAGTTATACGCCTTTGAAAAACCAAAAGTAGAATAAGTTCCACTTTCGGTTACCGAAAATTGCTGAAAATTTGACACAGAACTACAAATGTGTTATAATACTTAAATATGAAATTTCTTCATCCTATCTGTAACGGTACTCAAGTTAGCGTGTTGACAGACATCAAACAAACACAAATACACATACATACATACACACACAAACATAAGGAAAAAATTGCAAAACTGTTTTCAACACTTTCTCAATACTTCGTATACAAAAAAAAGTAAACATTATTTTTTTTTAAATGCATTAAAAAGGGAAAACAAATTAGGCTATTGTAACCTTACTAAAGCTATATGATGGTATGATTTAATTCAATAGCTTAGGGCCTCACTTATAGATAAAATATTCCCTTTCTTAGGGAGTTTATTCATAAGTTTAAGCTCCATAGCTTAATATAAAACCTGTATTCGCTTTTTTTCCCTCTCGGCATGCATTCAAAAAAAGAGAGGTGCTGTTGAAACAATTTAAGCGCTCGTCCAAAATCAGCCACATATTAAAAAAAAAACAACAACTTAATACTAGATTATTTTAATAGCAAAATAAACCCATAGTATCGAGACATATTATACAGTCATTAACACTGAATGTTACTTTGTTTTAGCCAAGTGTCGCTGCCAGCAAATTACCACGGTGGTCAATGGACAAAATGTGTGTTCGTGCAACCCAGGCTTTATCGTCAACCCAGCTAATCCTGCTAAATGTCTGGGTAAGAATGTCGATAATGTAAAATCGATAAATTAATCAACATGTTTGTAAACAAAAATAATTTGGTCCCTATTTATAAGAAAATGACCTGCTTTGTTTAGCTGAAGTTCACGAAAAAAGATGTTAATATAATAAAAAACATAAATGACAGCTAAAATGTATTGTTAATTAATGCATGAGTCGTATTATACATGGTATTGATTGATTTAAAATGTCGCTTACTTATATATATATATATATATATATATATATATATATATATATATATATATATATATATATATATACACAATTTTTTTAAAATCAAATACTTTTTGCTTCCTTATGGTTATAAACTTCGTGATTTTAATAACAAACAAAAAACGTTTTCAAATGAGCTACGTAATGATTTAAAGCGTTTATTATCGTGTGTTCGTTGCTTTGTTTAGGATTATTTTTGTAATATATAATGGTGACAACAAGCCAAAACTAAATAAGTAAGTAGATCAACAAATTCCACACATCAGAATACAAATAAGTATTAAAAATAAAACATAATTATTTATTGGTTTGAAAAAAAATGTATATCTTTAATGAATCAATGTCTCAAATGGCTTTATATAAAACTTAATATCTCTAACATCGTTCTTCAATTTCACAATACATACTTAAAATGTTACAATGAAATATCTTTTAAACGTATTTCACTAATGTGTGTTACTGAATAATCGCGATAGTTCTTTTTGTAGCTTTACTAAAACTCAATATTTTAGATGTTAAAGGCGTGTTCATTTTCTGCGTGTTATACTAGTTAAAAATTGTGATTGACCGGCTGATAGAATGAAGTATAACATATACAAGTGTAGTGTATTTATTATTTGATGTAAATTCACGCTTTCTATTGTTCCAACCATTTCAGACATCGATGAATGCAATACACAGCCAAGTCCTTGTCAACAAATTTGTACCAACACCATTGGAAGCTACACCTGCTCATGTAATGATGGATACGTCATAAGTAGCACTGACCAAACACAGTGTGATGGTAAGTCTCAGAATTTAACACATTTATATTTCCTCATTAGAAAAATTATACTTTTTGAAATGCATATTTAACTCAGATTAATGATACATTTTGCTTACAAACATAACTTCTAGACATCGATGAATGCAGTGCTGAGCCAAGCCCATGTCAACAGAATTGTACCAACACCGACGGAAACTTCACTTGTTCATGTAAACCTGGATTTGCCGTAAATAGCACAGACCCAACAAAGTGTGATGGTAGGTCATTTAATATTCGCAAATCAACATTTCTTGTTTTTAAATTCGGCCAATATAATTATATAATAAGTATCAATCTCGTGTAAAATGAAAAACAAAATGATAAAAGAAACAGTTTACTGCGTTTCACGTAAGATTAGTATTAATGGGTGTTTATTTTTTTACTGATATCGTATACATCGTTTTATAAGAGAAAATTGTATTTTGATAGCACATAAAGCAGGCACCAAAAAAATGGATTGATGATTGAAAAGCACTTTTTAAAATCAGCTCGAGTTTCTATACAATCCGAAAATGTATACACATCTACACATTCATATACACACAAAAACGCACTCACACACACACACACACACACATATATATATATATATATATATATATATATATATATATATATATATATATATATATATATATATATATATATTTCTAATTATCTCAGAATAAAATATTTATCATAGACAAATAACATACGACAAAATATCCCACGGCAAAATATTTAAATATATAGAGACTTATTTTAAAAACGAAAGATACGTTTGTTATATTAAATTATATATTATTGTAATTTGCAAAATTATACATGAAGGTTTAAACACAATTTTGATGCTTGCCAAACATGAGACAATCATTAGGCGGTCAACACTAGATTTTTTTTTGTAATGGAAGGGCAACGAAAACACACATTAGAAAAAAGGTAGCTCCGCAATTTGGTGGTTAAGATTGGTTATAATGGAGAACTAATTCTATCTTTGTGAGCTAGACAACTGTTATTAAAAAATTATGTTGTGTTATGTTTGTGGTGATAATGCAATAAAATATAATTTAACGTTACGAAACTGATGACCATCTAAATGATATAAAATTTAATTTCATGTATTTTGAACTATAATGCTTTATCGTTAAATTAGATCATTTTATTTAACTTATAAGTTTTTTACTTTGTATATTAAAATTCTTTAAAAAATATTTTTAATTTAATTAGTAGTTGTATTGGAAATGGACATACGCTGTTCCCTTGTCATATATATTTATAGTTACATTAAATTAAACTAAATTTCGTATAAAAATATATTTCCTTATGATACACGTCTTAAATAACTTGATAACAAAATATCTTGTATTTTTTTATAGCACTCTGCGTTCCGTTATCAACGCCATTAATAGAAACCCGAAACGCTTCATCACCCTTGGTAAATATATTTAGACTTTATACTGTCGTACTTACTAAGATCAATATTTTCTTCATCAAACATATTCATAGGTATCTGAATGCATTTCAGTATATTATGCTAGACGACCTAGTTTTCAGTTCGGAAATGGTCTGTCAACAGCACTGTACAACACAAACCAATTTCCCATATGCTCGCCCAAGAATTTATAGTTTTTTTAACCAAAATTACATCTACATCTACATCTACATCTACATCTACATCTATCTACATCTACATCTACATCTACATCTACATCTACATCTACATCTACATCTACATCTACATCTACATCTACATCTACATCTACATCTACATCTACATCTACATCTACATCTACATCTACATCTACATCTACATCTACATCTACATCTACATCTACATCTACATCTACATCTACATCTACATCTACATCTACATCTACATCTACATCTACATCTACATCTACATCTACATCTACATCTACATCTACATCTACATCTACATCTACATCTACATCTACATCTACATCTACATCTACATCTACATCTACATCTACATCTACATCTACATCTACATCTACATCTACATCTACATCTACATCTACATCTACATCTACATCTACATCTACATCTACATCTACATCTACATCTACATCTACATCTACATCTACATCTACATCTACTACATCTACATCTACATCTACATCTACATCTACATCTACATCTACATCTACATCTACATCTACAATCTACATCTACATCTACATCTACATCTACATCTACATCTACATCTACATCTACATCTACATCTACATCTACATCTACATCTACATCTACATCTACATCTACATCTACATCTACATCTACATCTACATCTACATCTACATCTACATCTACATCTACATCTACATCTACATCTACATCTACATCTACATCTACATCTACATCTACATCTACATCTACATCTACATCTACATCTACATCTACATCTACATCTACATCTACATCTACATCTACGTCTGCATCTGCATCTGCGTCTGTATCTGTGTCTACATAAAACATGTTTTTCGTACAAATGTGTTGCTGTATCTGTGTCTACATAAAACATGTTTTTCGTACAAATGTGTTGCTACAGGAATGCTACTCAGCTTGTAGGGCAGAACATTGCTTCGCTTTCCAGTTTGGAGATGGTGTGTGTACAACGAAGCTCTATGTTGGCGATGTTGTAAATGTCAGTCAAAATGTACTTGGATATTCCGTTTTCTCATGCTACAATGATAGTAGTAAGTTTTTCCTTGTGTATATTGGTTTAGCTAAGCGTAATGTAAAAACCGAAACTGGCATGACCTAACTATACCTAACCCGAGCCAACCTGACATGACCTGACGAACCTAACTTAACGTAATCTTACACGTACCCGTAGCAACCATCTCATAAATGAGTATAAATTGTCAATCTTGGTGTTCAATGCAAGGCCTCGCGGAGTCTTAGACTAAGCAAAGTGTTCTGGTGCTCGATCTGGAACTTCCCGGAGCCACAGGTGCTACAAATTTGGCGGGCCCCTGCTTTTAGCCGACAGAACACGGAGGCCGGTGCCGGTCGGCCGCAATGTCCACGATGAGGGGATCAAAACTGACCTCAACTGACCGGAGTCTTATATGAGCTATACATCGAAAAGAAATTACCACGCAGGAAACTCTTTATAACTCCTGAGGTCGTAGACCAACCCTCGAAGGGTAGCAAAAAAAAATATGATAAATTCTGTAGATCTCCGGAACGGCTTTAGAAGTTACCTGTCCAAATTCCTTATATAAACATTGTTAATTTGGTGAAAAACTATGTCTATATCTAAAACAATGTTTAGGAACTTTGGCTCTGTACATCTGGCTAATTTAAAAAAAAACTGGATAAATGAATCGGCTTTAAGGATAAATTATCGATCAGCCTCTGCTCGCACGGCAAGGGATAACAAGTGACCACGAGTGAAATTCTCCTTTTATTGGCTATATGGAAAAAAAATTGCCGAACGAACTCCTCACCCACCCCCCTGATGTTTTGCGAGGTTGTAGACCGATCTTAGAGGGTAAAAAACAATCTTTATGCCCATTGAAAACATCCGTTAGGGCCGTTAAATTTGTCCAGACGCCGTGTTTTCTTATGTATGCATACCGATGTTTTTGTAAAAAAAAGTTAACAAAGATTACGTCAAGGGAGGTAACTTTCTAATGTAATTCTTTTTCAGAACATTTTATACCTTTAAAAAGAAACAGGAAATGACGTAGTATATCATTCGTTCTAGTAAAAAAATTAATTAAGCTGTAAATTAAATTATGTATCGTAACTAAATGTAGAAATTGATACTAAAAGTCAATGTAATATAAATTATGAGTTATACTTTTAAAGGACCCTCTGTAGTTCTAATTACCTTTTAAGTAATAAATTGCGAAAATTATATCAATTTCCCTAAAATTAACATGATGGTTTAAACTTAAGCACTCCACATACCTGCCAATCATTAATTAATTAATTAACCATTCAAACTCTCAAATGTTTTTTTAAAAAAAAGGGGGCTTGAACTCGAGACTTTTTTTTCGAATTTATCATCCATGAGCTTTTGCCGACTCGACCACGCCTCCATCACAATTAAGGATACGTTTCAACTGGTATTGAGGCCATTCACTCCGATTACAGACTGCTTTTCTTTTTGGATTCGCTTCCATAGCCTTTGTCCAACCAAGAACAAGCTACAAGGCAGCATGTGTTTGATTTTGGAGTTGTCTCTCCTAGAGTGGCTGTCCCCAACTAACGAGCCTCATCTGCCCGAGGGTTCGAACTCGAGACTTTTTGGCTTAGCAACCATGAGCTTTACCGACTCGACCACACCGACCCAGAGTTTAATCAAAAGTGATTAAAAGCAAAGTGCAAATAAGAGTACTCGACTCTGGCTGCGTTAATTTAAAGCCTATTGGTGTGTTACTAGAATACATAGTAAATATTTACATGGCCTATTATATAAGATACCATTTCTTCGCTTGATCTTTTACATAATGAATCAAATAAAATCATTGTATGTGCATTTAAAATGTAATTTATTTCTCAATGTAGCACAATGCACTTTGAAAATCCCTGACGTTAATTATATGATCAATGCGCCGGATCACGAGGTAAAAGAAGAATCTTTTTGATATTCATGTAAATCATATTTTCATATAAAATTTGATATTTAAAACCTTTATTTTAATTGGTAATAGCAGAACACTGTATAGTGAAATGAAAGAATATAATATCTAATCCTTTAATGTCAGTTAATTATTTTGAATACCAAAATAATTGATTTTTTAAAAGTATATTTTGAGGTTTTATGTTTTACTTATTTTCCAATTAATTACCAATTATACTTTTACAATTTTCCTTTGCTTGCCTTTTGTTTGTTAGTGTTTTTGTACATTGTGTTTAGTCCAGCACAACTATTTATTTCTTATTTCACTCCGATCCTGACCTCTGGAAGCTCGTTGACGATGGTTGACATAACGGAGCCGCAAAACAAGCTGAAACCAATACTTAATTGTGATGGAGGGAATCTCTTCCAACATTAAAAATTAAGAACGAAAAAGAAAAAAAACACCTGATGCCGTTCCCTTTTCCTTTTCGTTTTTAATTGTATTTTGGACGGGATTTCCTCCAACATAACTACGTTTTGACTCGGACTTCAGCCTACTTTTTGTTTGATTTGTAGTTTATATTATATATATATATATATATATATATATATATATATATATATATATATATATATATATATATATATATATATATATTATGTATATATATATATATATATATATATATATATATATATATATATATATATATATATATATATATATATATATATATATATATATATATATATATATATATATATATATATATATATATATATATATATATGTATGTATATATATATATGTATATATATATATATATATATATATATATATATATATATATATATATATATATATATATATATAAACTACAGATGTAAAACTATTTTGGTTTGGCTTTAACATCAAGTGACTTCACTAAGCCGGTGCAATATTTTAGTTTTCTTTGAAAATGAAGTCATCTGTTTTTACTTTTATAATTAAAGATTTGTTATTACGACAAAATATATCAATAGATTAATTCAAGTTTTTAAAAGAAATTTGTGTTTAACAGTTTCGGAAAAAAGTAAATTATTCTTTACATAAGTACGTATATTACAGTTCTACACATAGTGCAGATGCTCACGTGTAACTGAACAGACTATACCAATACAAACTTGTAGACAAATGTGACTTTAGAAATATATATATATATATATATATATATATATATATATATATATATATATATATATATATATATATATATATATATATATATATATATATACCATGTACGTGTAGTCTTGAGTTATCTTATCTTCAGTTGAAAATGTTAATCTTAGCTTCACAATGTATGCGAACGAGTTGACGAGAATCCTTCCATCATGTTGTTGACATGGATTAAAAACGTGCTTTTTTAGATTTTGCAATCAAATCGACCGGAAAAAATAATGAAAAATAAATACTTTAGCCTCAAAATAAATAAGATATTTAATATTTTTAGAATCAATGTTATAAAACTTGTAAATCCAGAGAAATGGAAAATAATTTGTTGAGTTTAAGGCTACATTTCTATTTATTTTTATCAAGCATAAGTTATAACCCGACGTTCACTTTCGTAAGACAAACATTGATTGGCTGTACAGGAATTCCGCGATCTTTATTTATTTGTTTACAAAAGTTTGCAGATAAAGTTTTTTAATTAACAATGCAAAAGTTTTTAAATAACAATGTAAATTTAAACCATATTTCTTAGTTTTCCCTTTTTTTTTCGCTTACAATGTGTACAATAAAATGTCTGCTAGCCTATCGAATAGCAGGATGTCATTGTGTATGTCGCCATTACACTTAAAAACCAAACTTTTTGCTTTTTTTTTTAAAAAAAAATTAGTTACCGAAAAAAATTAAAAACATCAAATACATCCAATCTGTAGTCCGAAAAAAAAAACAGACAGGATTTTATATTCATATTAATTTTAACTACGCCGTGTATGATTTTTAACATATTTAATGGGCCTCTCGAATACCTTTCGGCCTCCATTAATTTAACAATTAATCGATTGTAGATACGATTTTGCTCTTCTTCTGCAGACTTGCTTTACCACTTGCTTTAACGATCCCGAGTGTATCGGCTATCTTTATATGCCCGGCATGTGTATGCTCACTGCTCCAGGTGGAACCACAGTTGACATAAACAACTTTCCGGTTAATACATTTGTCACTCTGGATTGTGATAAATGTGAGTGTTATTTGCACAAATAGTATCTATCATAATGTTAACAAAAGTTGTTTTTAGTTTTAAAACATGAACGCATTACGAACTGTTTTGATTAAATGAAAAATATTATTTCGAATGTAACCCCTTTAAAATTTTAAGCGTATGTTTTAAAGGTTTCGAGAAATATGTACTGAACTTAAATGAAAATTGTGTTTTACCACAGAAAAAGCAGTTGGAGAAAAGTCTACACCAAAAGCAACAAAGTACTGCGGACTGACGGGTTGTTTAAAAATAACTTAGTTGACTTGTCTTCCTAGTCAAAACAATTGAATAAATCCCAACATTCTGAACGTAGTGTCCTCTTTATTGTCTGTAAGTCAGTAAGACTCTTGATAATATAAATTCGTGTAAGTCATATGACGGCGTGTGTTCTGAAAGAATAATATAAAATGTTAAATGCACAAATTATATAGTACAAAATGTAAGTAGTATATTAGGTCCCTTTTGGACCGCAGGCGCAGGCACCGCCGGTACAACGAGATATAGTAAAATACTCGGGATGGGGATGGGAGCCGCAGGTTCAACGAGATATAGTAAAATACTCCAGGCGCAGGCGCAGACCGAAGGTACAATCACATAGTAAAATACTCCGGAGGGGGATGGGGATGGGGAGGAGGCGCAGGCGCAGGGGGATGGGGATGGGGAGTAGCTCAGTAAGTCAGTGGGTCAGTGGGTCAGGTGAGGGGTTGACCTTGTGACGTAATCACCACCGGTGACCTAGTTACGTAATCACCATCGGTGACCTAGTTACGTAATTTGATTATTTGTTTTAATTAATTTGTGGTTTTTAATTAGTTTGTTTTTAATTATCTTTTTATTTAGTTTAATTTTTAATTAGTTTGCATTAAAGTTTTTATTAAACTAGTTACGTAATTTGATTATTTGCTTGTTTTTAATTATTTTTAAATTATTTATTAGTTTGAATTTTTTATTTATTTTGTTTTTAATTTTGTAATTTTTATTAACTAGTAACGTAATTTATACAGAACTAACATCCATCTATTTATCTATATACTACTAAAACTCAACTTTCTTTACATGTTTGAATATTTATTTGTTTGTCTGATTTCGTACTGTAAGGAAACTGCTCGATATGGGGGGCTGTAAAATAGTAGGTAGGTAGAGAACAATTTTTGATTGCAGACAGACTGTTAATCACACATTTAGTTAAAGACGTTAATTAATTTATTGATTTATTCATAGGTAGATTAACCACATTTATTTTAAAAGATTAGAACAACCACTAGACTCGACGAAACAGTGACGTCACATGTTTTTGTTTACTTTTTAGTACAATAAAATGGCGGCTTCCATCATAGGCCCATTCAAAAGTTTAACGCGTTCTAAATCTAATTTTCTGTCGGCCGTAACTTTAACAATACGTCCGTTTGCTGTTTTTATTACGTTCCAACACTTATATAAATTTCCAACTGTCTTTTTCATTTAGTTTTACAATAAATTTCTCTAGCTCTACAATCTGTGCAAGAAAGTTATTTATAGATCTAAAAACATCATGTGACCAAGTAAGTTATTTATAGATCTAGATCTAGAATCTAGGTCAAACGAAAGATTAATTAGATACATACCAAAGATTAAATTAAAAAAAATACAATCCATATTATAATTATAATACATTTTTTAGTCCTTAAATACTTGATATGAATCTTTGTGGTTTATCTATCTAGATCTAGATCTATCTAGCTAGAATAGGTCTAATGATTAGATCTAGATTCTAGATCTAGAATTTCTAGATCTAGAAAAATCTAGATCTAGCAATAGTTACGCAAATACTAGACTTAAGCAAACGAGTCGTAGAATCTAGATCTAGATAATTCTATCTAGATCTAGATAATTTCAGACCTTCATTATTTTATATGTATCTTTCTTTGGCTAATTAAAGATAAAATTTAATTTGAAAGTTACTACTACTAGACTTAGATCTAGATCTATGCGCGTAAATCAAGTTGCATAAGAAGACTCAAAGTATTAAAGTATAGTATAAACATTCGGGTGGCACAGGTTCTAGACCAATACGTCAATGATAATTTGTTTTTCAATTTTTATTTTATTTTTTAGATGTGAATGATAAAGTTCTCTATCTGAACTTGGCGGGATACAGGGCAGGTGAAGTAGAGTTCATCTGTTTCTTTGTCCTAAGCATATGAAGGGATAGTTTGGTCAGAGACATGCTCGGCTGGAATCGTTTTTTTAAACGATAAAAACATGTTGTCTGAGACTTGGCGGGATAATGGGCAGGTGTAGTAGGGTTGAGTAAGTCACTTGTGACGTCAGTATATGAAGGGATAGTTCGAAATCGGTGTTTTCGGTGTTTTTAAAAGATAAAAAACATATTTTTGAATGTGGGGTCTGTTTTTTGTGACGATAAGTGACACTGCAGTAGCGTAGCGAAAGGGGGGGGGGGCGGGGGGACGGACATATGTCCCCGGGCGCCGACCTTAGGGGGCGCCAAAATGGGTTGGAAAAATAAATTGAAAGGTTGAGGGGGGTGCAAATCGAAAGTTTGAGGGGGGGGGGGGTGCAAATCGAAATCTTGAGGGGGGGGTGGTGCACATCAAAATCTTGCCGGGGGGGGGTCGAAATCGAAAAGTTTGTCCCCGGGCGCCGAAAAGAAAGGGTCGCTACGCCTCTGAGTGACAGACGTGATGCCATTTATGGATGACCCCCCCCCCCCCGAAACCCACTAGATAACGGGTAGTCTAGTTATTTCTATATACATTATTTCTTTATACAGAACTAACATTATTTCTTTATACAGAACTAACATTATTTCTTTATACAAAACTAACGTAATTTCTTGCTCAGTTGCTGACACTCCAATAAAATTTCTTAAACGTTGCATGTTCTCTAATTTTTAGATAATTTATTGTTGCACCATGGCTACACCTTTTTCCTATAAATAATAAATCTGCGTGACCACTAGATCCATGTGGTTTTATTTATTTTTTAATTTAATTACTCTTTCTTTTAAATATCTAGGGTTATATAAAAGACGCTCCAGGTCAAAGATCATGTTTGTTTTCAAAAATGTTCTATAACATGTTCTGTAAGTGTGAACGCTAAGGTAAACATGTTCTGTGAACAAAATGTATCCAGATAAAAATTACTTTTGGCGGGTTTTGTGTTCTAGAAATGTGTAATATACATGTCGTAAGTGTAAACGCGGTGTTAATCTGTGACTTCGATGGGTTCCCATTAATCTGTGTGACATCCAAGTGAACACCTTAATTTTGACTTCCATGCTTACATGTAATCTGTGTAATATCCTGGGTTACCCCTTAATATGTTACTTCCATGGGTTACCGGGATTGAATTACATTAAGAATCACTTCGCAGTCCTTTGTTAAGGGCATTTGCGGGTGATAAAAACCAAAATTTAAAAAAGGCTAATTTCTAAACCTATTGCTATGATAATTAGCATATAGTAATGACTAAAAGAGTTAAGTCTAAAGATTTAAAAAAAATGACTGAAAATTTCCCGCAGTTGCTATACATACATACGGACAAAATTGTAAAACTATGTTTTTCCAACTCAGATAGGTGTAATACGACGAGATTTGTGAAAATATCGATTTCGATTTTTTTTTTACCACGATCACAATATTTCCTCTATATTTCGTATGCCAGAAAGTAAAAATGAGGTACATCACTACAGAATACAGCGATAATCCCAGCGTGGACTGCGTCTACACTGGCTTGACGCGAATTGTGTATGTTCTCAGGTGTCACAAGATGGTTTACCGCCACTGTCAAGTGGTTCGATTCCCCACCGTGCAGCCAATTGTATGTTGTGAGTACAGTGACACGCCCTCATGGTAATCAAGTGTGTCGCACAACAAATTAAACAAACAACCACGGAATGGTTACAAAAAACACAAAACACAAAGGATTGTTACATATAAGTTAGTATTCGCATAGATTTAGAGTAGCGTCCCTTTTGTTTACATGTTTTCATTACCCTTCAAACAATAGTCTATTTTATTTATATTGAGATTAAAGAATGTAAATAAATAGTACACACAATTCTGTAGAATAGGAACGATTGTGAGGGAAGTGACATATAGCGCAGACAATTTAGAGGTTAGGTAGGGTATAATAAATGGTGGGATTATGAAATTTATGGGGTCCATTCTCTAATAGGCAGTCTATGTCTCTTTCATACTTTTGTGTTGAGTTATTGTCGACCCTGTCTTCACCTCACATCACAACAGTTGGGTGACGCTTACCGTTTAATGTTAAAATAAATAGCATGTAATTGAGTTAGTTCGAAGTGAGTTTTCATACAAGCCCAACGCAATAATTAAGGTTGTCGCAAAAAATAACATATTTGTAACATATGTCAATGATGTCAATGAATTTTCATTAAAAAAAGATTTCTAGTGCAATTTACGAAACTAACTAACTTCGCCGATACTTTTTAGTTGGGTAGGTGGGTAAGTGGGTAGGTGGGTAGGTGGGTAAGTGGGTAAGTGGGTAGGTGGGTAGGTGGGTAGGTGGGTAGGTAGGTGGGTAAGTGGGTAGGTGGTTAAGTAGGTAAGTGGGTAGGTGGGTAGGTGGGTAAGTTGGTAGGTTGGTAAGTGGGTAGGTGGGTAAGTGGGTAAGTGGGTAAGTGGGTAGGTGGGTAGATGAGTAAGTGGGTAAGTGGATAGGTGGGTAGGTGGGTAAGTGGGTAGGTGGGTAGGTAGGTAGGTCGGTAGGTAGGTGCGTCATGATGTGAAATAATATTAAATGCATAATTGTTATTTTGGTGCGAATGAATGTTGGTGCGAGAGATATGACGAATGCATGTTTGATGACGCGGATGAAAGAGAGTGAAGTTTTGCCATAGGAACGGGTTGTTATGGTATGTAAGCTAGGTAGTTTGCACTATGGAGAATGTGAGAGATACTTCGTGTAATGTCGATATCAAGGATAGTTTTATGTTTATGTATACGAGAATAGTAGTTGAATAAATATTATCCAAGAAAATAATAGGCATTGTGTGATGGGAATGCACGTGGTAGTTGTATGCTTTAAATGGTAGTAGATCACGTGATTAAACACGACACTCTCACAGTCATGTATAAATGTGTCATTTAGTCCGTATAGGTCTTTTTGCTAAATTTCTCTTTTGCACATTTTTCGTTGTGTTTTTTCTGTTTGCGCTTTTTCCGTTTGCGCTTTTTTTGTGTGCGCTTTTTTCTGTTTGCACTTTTTTCCGTTTGCGCTTTTTTTCCGTTTGCGCTTTTTTCTGTTTGCGGATGAAACAGTGAAACTGAAAACTATTTAATTT